TCTAAGGTGGTAATTACATGTAGGTGGCAAGTTAGAAGAGCCTAATTGTGCAGTAAACCTACCCCAGAAAGTTCTTGTAGTGAATTTTCTAAGGATGAAGTTATGCTTATGATGAACAATGACCTAGAAAAATAGAAATCGAACAGATTGGAAACGAAGAAAGCTGAAACTTTGGTACACCTCAGAGCTGTTGCTCAAAATTGCTAACATATATTTGCCAACAAAAGTTTTAAAACACAGACTCGCCGTTTAGTCATTTAACAACAACAACAAATTATTGTCTCTCGCTGTGTCCAGTGCTTAGTATATAAAGTTGAATAACACATGGCCCCTATACACAGATGTACACAATCTGGAAAAGCACATAAACATAAAAATAAATCTTTGAGACACAGTAGGACAAGGTTACTATAGCCTGTTAAATTCATTACTGTGGCGTACCACTTAGGGTGTTGTGTACTACGTCACAGAAACCTCTTTATCCAAGACCTGAAAAGAATGATCCCACGACACTCAGTAACAGGAATACTATGTCCCTCGGAACAACTGTCTTAGGCTTATCTTAAATACTCTGAAGAATGTACCTGGCTTCTCTTTCCTGTTGAATTAGCAGCTTGAAAGCTCAGAGCTAATTTGCAACATAACTCTAGTAAACAAGTAAGACCCTGTATTATTAATTTTGTCGATTGATCTTCCACCTAGCCCCAACGAACTTCATCCTGATTTTGTTTACTTTTCATTGTTGTTATTGTTCTTTAAAAGCGCCTCAAATCCTCTTAATGGGGAGGTAGGGTGTCAGAAAATAAATAACTAAATTGTGATGACAGAAGTCTGTTGAAAGTTTCATGAGAGCCGAGCGGAGGAGCATAGCAGACTGAGGATGCCGCTGGGTGAGGTTGGAGGAGTCACGGGACACTTGGGAAAAGCGTTGTAAGAGTAATGACAATAATAGCAGCAGCACTTATAAATAATAGTAACAGAGAAAAACTGTACCTCGAAGAATAAAGAACAACTATAACATACAATTGTGGGGCCCTCCCTGTGTATCTGTGCTTCGCAAACATTATTTCTCTTATCTTCACAGCAACTCCAAGAAGTAGATATCAACGCCCCCATTTTACAGGTGAGGATATTGATGCTTAGGGAGTTTAGTAATTTACCAGAGATGCCACTTCAAACCCAGGCTGTCCTGCTTCAGGTGCTACAGCACTGATGCTCTGAGTGTCACAGGAGAAGAGGAGAGGATTGGTAGGGTGCTGCTGGTTTGAGTAGCTCCGAGTACATTCAAAGCAAAAGGTGCCTGTGGTGATGCAGGCAAAGGTGAAGGTGCAGAGATGAGTAAGGGCATTGTCAGAAACAGTATTTCTTTAGGTAAGGGGAAGAGTTCAAAGGAGTTTAGTAAGGGAAAATGGAGAAGGGGAGGAGAGATTTTAGATCGGCCCCTTCTGAAGCAGAGCGGCACTGCCAGAGTTTACAAGGTGAGGAGACTCGGCAAGCGCCATGCCGTAGTTCACCATGCACCATGGATCATGGTGACTCCTTGGTGCTCGAGAGCATTACAATAGCATTTACTTTCAATAGAACGTCATCTTCCACAAGACAGGTTTACTCTGAACCCTGTACCAGTGGGTTCCAGTACCAAAGAGCATTGTGCTAAGCACCTCCTTCCTAAATAGCACCCTAGCCTATACCTCAGGCAACATTAGAGAAAGGTCATAGTGCTTTTAAAGCCCGTCCCCATAAAGCCTTCCCTGTGGACTCAAAATAACGGCAGTAGTGGTGATGATAAGATGTTGATGGTGTTGGCCATGATGGTAACAGCTGCTGCTAGTTACTGAGCATGTCTATGCTTGAAACGCTGGGCCAGTTATTCGTCATTTCACTGAATCCTCACAGCCACCCCAGGGGAAAGGCAGCATTATGCCCATCTTACAGATGAAGACACTAAGGTTCAGGTTTAAAAGCTTGTGCAAGGTCACACAGCTAATCAAGTGGCAGAGCCAGGTTTTGAATCCAGGACCAACAGACTCCAGAGCCTGTGGGTAAGGCAGCTGCCCAACCCCAGCTCTCATGAGGAAGTAATTAGATAAAGCAGTCATCTTAGCATGGTTCTGACTACCACTTTTCTGTCTCACCAGGAATTATCTGATTTATATTAACAGAAAATTATTTGTTGAGATTTTTGCTTCTTTTACCTCCTTTCTTTTCTTATGTGAATTTATAGACCTCAAATGAGAGGATTCTGTATGTGTGTGCACATGCATATTAAATATGTGTGCACTTGCCAGTGTGAAACCACACATTGAAAAGAGAAGGTATGTGGATGGATTTTAGGGACACATGGTCAAATCCCAACCTTTCTGCTTACTAGGCATATGACTTAGAGCAATCAGTGGACCTCTTGTGTGTCAGTCTCATCACCTTTAAAATGAGGATAATTGGAATTCAAGACTGTGGCCATGACCACACCAAAACTACTAGAAATGATCGAAGAATTCAGCAAAGTAGCAGGTTACAAGATTAACATTCAAAAATCAGCTGCATTTCTTTACACTAACAATGAATCAACAGGAAAAGAAAGTGAAGAAACAATCCCCTTTAAAATAGCACCCAAAGTAATAAAATACCTAGGAAGCAATATAACCAAGGAGGTGAAAGACTTATACATGGAAAACTGTAAAACACTGATGCAGGAAATTAAAGAAGACTTAAAAAAATGGAAAGACATCCCATGCTCCTGGATTGG